TCATATAGTCAAGCTTCTCAGAATATTTGCTCAGCATACTGATTGAATAAGTATGGTGAAAGGACACACAACACAACCTTGATTCACACCTTTCCTAATGTTAAGCCATTCAGTATCTGCTTTAATTGTGCTCATGAGGAATGTTTACATAGACAAAAGAGGCAGTCGTTTCAACAGAACTGTTCTGTTTAAACAACTGCCTCTTTTGTCTATGTAAACATTTCTCATGAGCACAATTACATGTTCTGGAATTCCCATTCTTTTCAACATTGACTGCAGTGTGCTATGATCCATGCATTCGAATGTCTTTGCATAATCAATAGAAGACAAACAGCTATCTTTCTGGTATTCTCTACTTTCAACCAATATCTAATTGACATCAACAATGATTTTCCTTTGTCCACACTGTTTTTCAACCTGATTTGAATTTCTAGCAGATCCCTGTTGATGTACTGTTGCAACTGTTTCTAAATTATTGTCAACAAAACTTTACTTCCATATTCCGTTGGGTTAACTTTCTTTGAAATGGTGCACAAATATGGATCTTTTCCAGTTAACTGGCCATGCAGTTATCTTCCAAATTTCTTGGCATATACTAGTGAGTGCTTCCAGTGCTAAATCAGTTTATTGAAACATTGTAATTAATATTCCATAAATCCCTGGAGCCTTGTTTTTCACTAATGCCCTCAGTGCAGCTTGGACTTCTTCCTTCAATATCATCTGTTCTTGATTACATGCTACCTCTTGAATTGGGTGACCAATTCTATCTGGTACATTGACTGTGTACACACTCCATCTTGTTTGGGTATTGTGTCATGCACTGTTTTGCCCATAGAATTCTTCAATACTGTAATCCCAGGCTTCAGTTTTTCTTCAGTTCTTTCAGTTTGAGCATGTTCTTCCCTTTTGACAGCTTTCTAACTATGTGGCTGTTATTTGCCTACGTTGTTGTCATGTGCTGCAGAATTGGTTCCGACTCATAGCAACCCTGTACAGGGTTTCTGAGGCTGTAAATCTTTATGGGAGCAGAAAGCCTCATCTTTCTCCTGCAGAACAGCTGATAGTTTCGAACTACTGACCCTGAGGTTAGCAGTCTGATTCGTAACTACTATGCTACCAGAGCTCCTTGCTGTCTAACTATAGGTCTTTGTATATTTCATTACAGTATTTTTACTATGCTTTCTCAAGTTGCCCACAGAAAATTTCTAGTCAACTCATTTACTTAAGTATTTCTTCTAGGTTCCTTTAGCTATTTCAAGTTCAAGAGCAAGGTTCAGAGTCTCTTCTGACACCCTCTTTGTTTTTTATTTCCTGTCTTTTTATTGACCTTTTGCTTTCTTGTATAATGTTTTTGATGTCATCCCACAACTCTTCTGGTCTCAGGTTATTAGTATTCAGTGTTCTACCAGTTCTTGAGATGGCGTTTAAATTCAGTTGGGATATACTGAAGGTCATATTTGGCTCTGGTGGACTTGTTTTAATTTTCTTCAGCTTCGCCTAAACTTTAATATGAGAAACTGGGTGTATGTTCCACAGACTGCCCTTTGCCCTTGTTTTATGAAGTTGATGATACTTAGCTTTTCCATCTTCTTTTTCCATAGATGTAGTCAATCTGATTCCTGGGCATTTCACATCCAGCGAGGTCCAGTGTGTAGTCACAATTTATGTTGTTGAAAACTAGCATTTGCAATGAATAAGTCACTGGTCTTGCAAAATTCTGTCATGCGACCACCAGCATAATTTCTATAATCAAGGCTATTATTTTCCAACCACAGTTGAATCCTGTTTCACTTTTACATTCCAATCACCAGTAATAATCAATGCATCTTGATTATATTTGATCAATTTCAGACTGTAGCCATTGGTAGAATTCTTCAATTTCTTCATCACTGCCTTTAATAGTTGGTATGTAAATTTGTGACAGTTGGTATTTAACTGGTCTTCCTTGTAGGAATATGGATATGTTATCAGACAGTACTATACTTCTAGATACATCTTGAAATGCTCTTTTTGATAAATGAGATGTCATGCCTTTTCAGTATGTCATTCCTGGCATAGTAATTCATGACTGTCCAATTCAAAATGGCCAATACCAGTCAAAATTTCAGCTTACTAATGCCTAGGATACTGATCTTTATGCATTCCATTTCATTTTTGACAACTTCTAATTTTCCGACATTCATATTTTATACATTCTATCTTCCAATAACTAAAGTATGGTTGCAGCGGTTTCTTCTTATTTTGAGGTGTCCCCCATCAACAAATGAAGGTTGTAAAAGCTCTGTTACATCCATGTCATTAATGTTGACTCTACTTTGAGGAGGCACCTCTTACTCTACTGTATTTTGAGTATCTTCCAACTTCAGGAATTTATCTTCCAGCACTATATCAAACAATGTTCTGCTACTAATCATAAAGTTTTCAATTACTAATCCCTCAGAAATGGACTACCTATTCCTTCTTTGTAGTCTGTCTTATTCTGGAAACTCTCTGCTAAAACCTGCCCACCACTGGTGGCCCTGACAGTATTTGAAATACCTGTAGCAGTATCCAGCATCACAACACTCTAATCACCACAGTAGGATAAACTGACAGATGAGTAGTGGCTTACTATAAGAATGAGATAAGCAATTTTGTGAATTATTTTTGAAAAAATGCAGCCAGAATACTGCTTAGAAGTTAGGATGGATGGTGAGACTTCCTCTCTCATACTAATGGACATGTTATCAGGAGTGACCAGTCGCTGAAAAAGGACATCATGCTTGGTAAAAGTGGAGGTTCAGTGAAAAAGAGGAGACCCCAAATGAGATGTACTACTGGCACAGTATATTGATAGCAGCAGTTGGCTCAAGTGTTAACAACTCTGAGGATGGCACCTGACCAGATAGTATTTCATTTTGTTGTACACAGGGTTGCTGTGAGTCTAAATTGCCTGACGGCAACCAACAACACCACCCTTGAAGGAGTGAGTAAATCAAGTTTTCCTCCCAAGGTTTAAGGAGAATGCAAGGGTAAGTCAGAAAGCATTGCTACCAAAACAAAGAAACCTTAGTAAATAAAAATATTAAAATGTGAAACTATTATTTCTTAACATATCCTCCATCTAGGTATGGAAACACCTCTGAAGCTGTGGTTACATCTTTCTAACCCTTCCTGGTGGTATAGCACTGTATGATAAGCACTGGACTTCTAACCACAAGGTTGGCAGTTTAATTTTATTAAAACTTCTTTATTAAGTCTCCATGATCATCTTGTATGCTTCGAGAAAATCTATCAAGATTACCCCTTCAGAATCCCAGAAAGCAGTCACTGTAACTTTCTGAGCTGATCTCTCTGCTTTGAATTAATTAGCCCAAGAAGATCCCCTTGGAAGCCACTGCTTTTATTGGAGCTTTTATTTTTGAAGGTACCATGAGACAAAGACTAATGCATTACTAAGACAACGTGTTTGTAATCATCCATTGATTATAGAGCTAGAGAAATGTGACAGTCTTAGCACACAGACAACAGTGAAACCAGAGACTAGTTAAGACCACTAAGAGAACAAGTCTAGATATAAAAAAGAACAGATTCAACGTCTGAGTTTCGGAACCCTTCAACATGTAGAGGTTAGGGAGACCAAGACAAACCAGAAAACTGTGAAGCCATAGCCTGAAAGGTGGAAATAAAACCAGATAAATGTTTATCCTGGAAGCCAAATATCAAGAAAGTGATATACTGTGCCAAATACTGGTGGCAAGTTACATAAAATTAGGACAGAGAAATGTCTATTATATTTGGAATCATAGAAGTTATTGAAGAGTTTGAAATTCAGGATAGTTTGGGTGGAAGAGTGAAGGTGAAGACCTTTGGAATGGGTAACAGATAAACTTTTTGAGAAATAGGGTAACAGCTTAACAGGAACATAGTACCATGAAAGGGTTTTTATGTTTTGTTTTATTTTAGGATGGGAGAAAATACAACATGCTTCTTGTTGTTGTTAAGTACTGTGGAGTTGGTTCCGACTCATAGTGACCCTGCACAGGGTTTCCAAGACTGTAAGTCTTTATGGGAGCAGAATTCCTCATCTTTCTCTTGCAGAACCACTGGTAGTTTCGAACTTCTGACCTTGAGGTTATTAGCAGCCCGATTCATAACTACTACGCTACCAGAGCTCCTTATTAAAATGATCAAGTACTGAAGGGAGAACTACTGGAGCAGTATTTTGAGAAGCAGGGGTATCTTAATGTACATGTGGAAGGAAAAACCTTAGCCAGTTCATCCGTTGTTATAGAAGAGAAGCAAGATTTTTGGGAGCACATTCGAGTAGGTGGGATATTTATTGCTGGGAATTTAGGAAGATCTCTCCTAATTACTTCTGATTTTTTGGCAAAGTAGGAAACAAGTTATTAGCTTTGAGGATGAATGAGGAGGAATTGGAGGTCTACGGACAACAAAGAAAGTAAGAAATAGTTGCCTATGGAACCGATTATGCAAAAGTTTCAGGTAATCAATTACCTAGCAGAAAATAAAAAAGTAATGTCAAAAGTTTCCCCTAAAATATCACACTCCAGTGGTGTGTTTTGGCATCAAGTTATGTTCAGCTTTACTTCCTATATATAGGAATATATAAAGAAATCTGTGATCAAATGGCTGAAGCTTGTAATTAGAGCACTCAGGTCTAATGATATTATAAGATACCAAGGAAAATCAAATGATAGCACTTTGCACTGGACGAGGCAAAAAATATGCAATATTTTGTTTAGAAAGACTTACCTTAGATTTGAGACAAGCTTCAGATACTAAAAAAGCTAAATATACAATTAAACAGTACACATCATGTCCCTAGATAAGGGACTCTGCTTTTACTTATGCAAAAGATCAAGCCATAGATCACATGAACAAAGTGAAATGATTTACCTAACGAAGTTACACCTGTCACTTAATACTACTGTTGATGAATTTCTGCACTACCACTATTTAAACCAAGAAATAAGAAAATGTAAAAGATTTCCTAGTACCTTCTCATCCAAATCTGATCCTGTTATGTGTTCACTTAAGTCTCCCAGTTTTTCATTTTCGGAGGTTTCATTGGTAACATCTCCAAAGGAAATATTTATACCTGTGGATTCATGCTTTATTTCATTTGCTGAAAAGAAATATAATTCAGCTGTAAAACTTTAAATGAAAAAATAAATAAGTCATGCAAAGATCACTCTAAGATAATTTAGAATTCAAAGGCTTTTATAGCTTAAAGGAGCCGTGGGAGCACTATGGGATCATGTGACTGCTAACGGTAAGGATAGCAGCTCAAATTTACTAGCTGTTCCTCAGGAGAAAGATGAGACTGTCTGCTCCTATAAAGATTTACAGTCTCAGGAACCCTACATAGGGTTACTATGAGTCAAAATCAACTTGATGGCAATGGGTTTGGTTGGTTTTTAAGGTCTAATGTGACAAAACAGGATGCAGAGTTTTCATGTAGTTGTACACTAAATCCTCCCTCCTTATAAAAACATGTGGTATAAAAAGAATTGGCAGTAATACAGAATTGAAAAGCATTTCAAGATGAATACACTTAAGAATCTTAATCATGTCCAGCTATTTTAAATAAAATTTTAAAATCAGAAAGTAGAAAGTAAAATGAATTTTCATATTAAATTAATGCCTGTGAAGTAAAGATCCAGGTAATTAACACTATGATTATTGTTGTTGTTAAGTGCTGCCAAGTTGGTTTCGATCAATAGTGAACCTGAACAGGGTTTCTGAGGAGCAGCTGGTAAACTTGAACTGTCAACCTGGCAGTTCAAACGACTTTGCAGTATAGTACATTAACCACAGCGCCACATGATTAGTGGCTAATTGTCAACAATTTTAAAAAGGACTCAGACTTATAATGTGATTGACACCAATTATATATCTTTTGTATATAAAGTCTAGCATTGTTATTTTTAAAATAACCAAGTGGAAAAGATTTCAAAATTTTGCCTGCCAACCAGTCACATTAAAATGGAGACAAACTGACAAGTGGTATGACACAGGATTATAGACTTCAAAATGAAAAGTCTCGTATCGTAGTGATTTCATTTTCACTAGGCATGAATGGGGAATTAAAAAATATATATATATACATCTATATTTCAATACTGTGTGTTCCACAAATGTCCAATCTTACCTGATAACAAGGAAGCACAGATGTCTGGCTTCTTCAATCCAGGGTCCAGTACAGGAAGATCTCTATAATAAAGTCAACAGAATTAAACATTATATTCCAAGCAGCATAATCAATCTATACAATACTAGCTTTTGCAGTTTGTGAGTATAAACTCAACGCCTCAGGGTAGAGTAGTATGCTGTGTTTCAAGGCTCAGCACACCCAGGCAGACCCCTAATTTCGTCTATAGTAACATACTGCCTCAAAGTTAGGGAGTGTTGCCAAGCAACTTTGTTACTCAGCAAGAACCCACCGAAATATACCAAACATTTAAAATATATAAAGTATTACGCTGACACAAGATAGCGTTTACTACTCTCAAGTATATGTCAATATGTCTTTGGTTTAACTGGGAGAACAAGAGGTTGAGGTGTTCTTTTCCTTATTGTCTCTGAAAACAACGTATCATTTAGAGATCAAGCCTATAAAAATCAGAGTTAGACCAACTTGGGGTTAAATATTGCTCTGTCACTTACTATGCAATCTGTGGCCAAATTACATAACTTCTTTGATTCTAATTTTATCTGTAAAATGAGAATAGCACCTACCTATGAGGTTACTGTGAGGATTAAATGAGATAAAAATCTTTAAAGCCAGTGTCATAGGCTTAATACACAAAAAACACATATGATAGCATAGCCACTCAAATACAGTCAAGCCTTTTAAAGAGCTATGCCAAGGACTTACTCTACTGTGTGTTTTGTTTTTTTTTTAATTTAGATAAAATTGTAAAATATATAAAAGTACACAGAATAAAATATGATTACCATCTATAATCTCCCCATTTATTAATTTAATAAACAGGTTTTATTAAATATTAAACGTATTTCACAACTGCATAATTGCTCTTCATTGGGTCAGGGTTACATCTTAGCCAAGTGAGAAAATTAAACAAAACATTTTGTGCATGCTATTCTTTGAAAGAGTCTTGGTGTGGCACTATAGGATAAGCACGGGACTGCTAAATGAAAGATTGGTGGTTCAAACCCACCAGCTACTACTTGGAAGCCCTAAAAGGGTTGTTATGAGTAGGAACCAATTCAACAACATTTAACAACTACAACATCCTTTGAAAAATATAAGTATTTTTTTCCTCACATATTCTAGCAATAATCCAAAGAATACACTTTAAGGGGTGAAAATATAACACGAACAAAAGGCACGTTTATGTGCGCATATAAGTATCTCTTCCCCCAGCCCCAACTTCTCTCTAGATTTATATCTATCAAAATATTCTCATTTCAGTATTCCAAAGACCTCTTTAATGCAACCAGGGCCAAAGTCAACTTCCTGAACCAAAACCCTCTCCAGAACTTTAACCCTTTATATCTGAGATGACCACCACTCGTCTGTCAGTTTGTTGTTCTGTGATGGCTTGTGAGTTGCTGTGATTCTAGAAGCTATGCCACCGGTATTTTATATACCAGCAAGATCACCTATGGTGGACAGGTTTCAGATGAGCTTCCAGACAAAGACAGACTAGGAAGAAGGAGTGACGAACTACTTCCGAATATTTAGTCACTGAAAACTTCATGAATGGCAGAGAAACACTGTCAGATATACTGCCGGAAAATGAGCCCTCAGGTTAGAAGGCACACAAAATACAAAGGGGGAAGAGCTGCCTCCTGAAAGTAGAGTTGACTATGGTGATGCAAATGGAGCAAAGCCCATAGGAGAAAAGCCTGTGGTACCTTCATTTGCTGATGGGGCACAACTAAAAATGAAGAGAAACAGCTGCAAAAATCCATTAATAATCGGAACATGGAGTGCATGAAGTATGAATCTAGGAAAATTGGAAATTCTTAGGCATTAGTGAGCTGAAATGGACTGGTATTGGCCATTTTGAATCTAACAACCACATGGTTTATACTATGACAGGAAAGAAAAACTGAAGAGGAATGGTGTTGCATTCATTGTCAGAAAAAACATATCCAGATCAGTCATGAGGTACAACGCTGCCTGTGATAGGATATTATCTTTGCGTCTACAGGGAAGACCATTTAATACTACTATTATTCAAATTTACGCACTAACCACTAAAGCCTGTGAGGATGAAATAGAAGAATTCTACCAATTCCTTCAATCTGAATTAGATCAAACATGTAATCAAGATGTATTCATCATTACTGGTGTTGGAATGCAAAGGTTGGGAGCATATAAGAAGGTTGTTCAGTATTTGGAAAATATGGACTTTGTGATAGAAATGACGATGGAGACTGTATAATAGAATTCTGCAAAATCAATGATTTGTTCATTTCAAATACCTTCTCTAGACAGAATAAGCGACGACTATCCACATGGACCTTAAAGGAATACATAGAAATCAAAGTGACTACATCTGCAGAAAAAGACAATATCATCAGTCAAAACAAGGCCGGGGCAGATTGTGGAACAGACCATCAATTGCTTATATGCAAATTCAAAGTAAAGCTGAAGAAAATGAAAGCAAGTCCATGAGAGCCAAAATATGACCTTGAATATATCCCACCTGAATTTAGATATCTGAAGAACAGATTTGATACATTAAACACTGAAGACCAAAGACCAGAAGAGTTGTAGGATGACATCAAGAACATCATACAGAAAGCCAAAAGTCATTAAGAAGACAAGAAAGAAGGAAAAGATCAAAATGGATGTCAGAAGAGACATTGAAACTTGCTCTCCAGCATAGAGATGATAAAAAGCAAATGGAAGCAATGAGGTATAAGAGCTGAACAAAAAAATTCAAAGACCAGCTTGAGAAGACAAAGCCAAATATTACAACAAAATGTGCAAAGATTTGGAGTCAGAAAACCGAAAAGGAAGAACACACTCAGCATTTCTCATGCTGGGGGAACTGTAGAAAAAAATTCAAGCCTCGACTTTCGTACTGAAGGATTCTTTGGGCAAATTATGAATGATGCAGAAAGCATCAAAAGAAGATGGAAAGGATACACAGAGTCACTGTACCAAAAGGAAATGTTTGATGTTCAACCGTTTGAAAAAGTAGCATATGAAGAACAGTCAATGACACTGAAGCAAGAAATCCAAGGTGCAATGAAGGAATTGGCAAAGAACAAGGCACCAGGAATTGATGGAATAAAAATTGAAATCTTTCGAGAAAGTAGGGAGGCACTAGAAGCACTCATTCATCTATGCCATAAAATCTGGAAGACAACTATCTGGCCGAGTGATTGGAAGAGCTAGGTATTTGTGCCCATTCCAAAGAGAGGTGACCCAACGGAATGCGGAAATCACCACACAATATCTTTGCTATCCCATGTGAGTAAAGTTTTACTAAAGGTAATATAGAAATACACTGACAGAGAGGACCTTCCAGAGGTTCAAGCCAGATTCAGAAGAGGCCGTGGAACTAGGGATACCATTGCTGGTGTCCAAGGGATGTTGGCTGAAAGCAGAAAATATCAGTAAGATGTTTACCTGTTCTTTATTGACTATACAAAGGCTTTCGATTGTGTGGATCATGACAAGCTATGGACAACATTGCGAAGTATGAGTATTCCTGAACACTTAATTGTGCTCATGAGGAATTGGTACATGGACTAACAGACAGTTGTTCAAACAGAACTTGGGGACACTGAATGGTTTAAAATTACCAAGGGTGTGCGACAGGGTTGTATTCTTTCACCAAACTTATTCAACCTGTATGCTAAACAATTAATCCGAGAAGCTGGGTTATATGAAGAAAAACTGGCATCACAATTAGAGACTCATTAACAATCTGCAATATGCAGATGATACAACCTTGCTTGCTTAAAGTGAAGAGGACTTAAAATATTTACGATGAAGATCAATGAGCACAGCCTTCGGTACAGACTGCATCTCAATGTACAGAAAACAAGAATCCTGGCCACTGGGCCAATAAACATTCTTATCAATGGAGAAAAGACTGAAGTTGTCAAAGGAGTTCTCTCTTCTTGGATAACTATCAACATTCATGGAAGCAGCAGTCAAGAAATCAAACGACATATTGCACTACGCAATCCGCTGCACGAGACTATTTTAAAGTGTTGAAGAGCCAAGATGTCAGCTTGAAGAATAAGGTGCGCCTGACCCAAGCCATGGTATTTTCTATAATCTCATATGCATGCGAAAGCTGGACAGTGAATAAAGAGGACCGTAGAAGAATTGATGCTTTTGAGTTCCGGTGTTGGAAGAGAATATTGAAAGTGCCATGACAAACAGGAAGTAAAA